GCCAGGATTCTTTCATAAAAAAAAAAATTCTTTTCATATATAGAACACTTTATTGACTTAAAAATATTGAAAAAGAAGTTAAAGAAATAACATAAAATAAAATAAATAAATAAATAAAAATTATCAAAAATTTATCAGTTATCTATTATTCGCTATTTCATAAAGGAAAAATAGTTATTTCTCCATACAAAACACTTGATTCATGTTAAATTATTGAAAAGTATATTAAAAAACGTAATATGAAATAAATAAAGAAAATGTAAAGTCGACCCTTGCAGGGTTTCGAACCCAGGACTTCCGGGACTACATATCACCCTTGCCCACAGCGCTACCAACTGTGCCACGCTTCACATACCTGCCCCGCGTACATTTAGCTTTAAGCACCTCCTCCCAGTTAGTTTCATTAGACTCTAATTTCGGGCCGTGTTTGAAATTTATAGGGTAATAAACTGATAAATTTTGGATAATTTTTATTTATTTATTTATTTCATTTTATGTTATTTTTTATTTATTTTTTTATTTTTTTAAGTAAATGATGTGTTCTATACATGAAAAGAGTTATTTTTCTTTGTTAAAGAGCGAATAATGGCTGAAAAATGTACAAAAATCGTATCAGGAGGCACACACTCATCACACCCCGTTACTCCCTATAATATTAACCTATTAAATTCAAACTCGGCCAGATATTAGTGTTTAATGTATCAAACAATTGAAGGAAGGGAATTTTTTATAGACCAATCAGTAAGTAATTGTTTGTGTTTTATGTCTGTTTTGTCTGTAGAATGTTTGTTCTACTCTCGTGTGCCCTGAATAGGGCGGGACGAGGTATCAATAAACAATAGACCAATCAGTGGGCCCACAATGAACCAAAATAAGTTTTGTTGACAAACCAGGAAGAGGCGCTTTAAGCTAAATATTCGCGGGGCTGGTATGTGAAGCATGGCGCAGTTAGTAGCGATGTGGGCAAGGTTGATTTGTAATCCCGGAAGTCCTGGGTTCGAAACCCTGCAATGGTCGACTTAAAATTTTTTGCATTTATTTTGTGTTATGTTTTTTAATATACTTTTCGACAATTTAAGTGAATCAAGTGTTCTGTATGTAGAAATAACTATTTTTCCTTTTTGAAATAACGAATAATAGCTAATAAACGGTTAAATTTTGTATAATTTGTATTTATTTATTTATTTCAGTTTATGTTACTTTTTTAACTTCTTTTTCAATATTTTCAAGTGAATAAGGTTTTTTATATATGAAAAGAATTATTTTTCTTTATTAAAGAGCGAATAATGGCTGAAAATGGAACAAAAGTCGTATCAGGAGGCACGCACACATTACACCCCGTTATTCCATACAATATTAATCTATAAATTTCAAACTTTTCCCGAAATTAGAGTTTAATGTAACAAACAATTGTACCAAAGGAATTTTTTGTAGACCAATTAGTGGGCCCACAATGGGCCAAATTAAGTTTTGTTGACTAACCGGGAGGAGGTGCTTTAGGCTAAATATTCGCGGTTGGTATGTGAAGCGTGGCGCAGTTGGTAGCGCTATTGGCAAGGTTGATATGTAGTCCCAGAAGTCCTGGGTTCGAAGCCCTGCAAGGGTCGGCATTAAATTTTTTTATTTATTTTATATTATGTTTTTTAATATACTTTTCAACAATTTAACGTGAATCAACTATTCTGTATATAGAAATAACTATTTTTCCTTTCTGAAATAGCGAATAATAGCTAATAAACGGTAAAATTTTGGATAATTTTTTTTTATTTATTTACTTTATTTTATGTTATATTTTATTATACTTACCTATATTTCGGCAAAATTTGGAAAAGATAAATTTGCGAATCGCTTGTAAGAATATAATTTATATCAAACAGGAAGAACGTCACAAATTGCTTACAAATTTTTAACTAAGCATTAGAAATTAATTTCAATCATAAAATAGAATTAAAGAAAAAAAAAAGACTTCAAATTACTTGTTGAAACAAAAGAGAAAAAATGCGAAATATCTTGAAGAAAAAAGATAATACACATAAAAACACTCAAATAAATCATAAAATCTCTCTCGATTAAAAAATCGTAAGGGCCGCAGCCAATGCTTCTCTTTTGTGTAGCAACTTAACATGACATTTTGTTTTGCTGATCAAAAATTTTGGAACTCAGAAACTTGAAATTGCTAAAGTGTGTAGAAATGCATACAGGATTACTATGGAATAAGACAAATTAACATTCTTTAAGTGGTTCGAGAACTATTAACTCTTAAAATTGTTGTGAAAAGGAAAAACGTCATAAGAATTGCAACTACAGAGTAAAAAATTGACATACTGAATGAGCCACATTTGTTTATAAATTTAACGCAATTTTTTTTCTTCTTTTTTCTTTTTAATTCCAATTTGTGTGAAAGTAATTGCAATTTTAAGTGTTTTTATTGCGAATGTTTTTCCACCTATTTTTTCCTTAATGTTGCATCTTGTTTTACTGCTCAAGTTCTGTGATACTTAGAAACTTGAAATTATGATGGTGTGCAGAAACGTGTACAATGAGTTCGATCGAATAAAAGAAAAAAATTACTATTCAATTGTTAGTTTGAGAATTATTAATTGTTAAATTTGCAGTAAAAGGAAACATATGTTCGATCTACTGTCCGTTGAAATACAATTACCTGTACATTGTACTGATAGGGCCATTTTGCATTATAATTTTAAAGAAAGTTTTTTCTTTTTCTTTCCTAAATTCGTAATTCTTTGAAAGTTATTTCAAACTTTTATAAATATATATTGCGCTCGTGTGTGTTAATTAATTATTGCAACTAATAAGTTACGAAATCAGATACAGAATCGTCTCTTCTTAGAATAACGTTTTCTTTAAACATATGTGGATATATGACCCTAAATATAAATAAATATGGGTAGATAAAGTTTTAAAAAACTTGATCATAAATTGGAGGGGGGGGGACTAGGACTATATATCTGGCGATGACCCAGAAAAAGGCCTTTCTCTATTGTTAAGAAACCAAGTTGAAAGAAAAAAAAAGAATGAAATGAAAACTGAAGCTTTCTTATTCATCGTTTTGTGTTGGTACAGTAAGGCTTATTTATTAATAATTATTAGAAAAATATTTCGAAGTCTCTAGATTACACACATTTTATGGGCTGATTTCTGACCAAAAAGAGAAGAAATGTTTTTTTTTTTTTTTTTTTTTTTTTTTTTTTTAATATCCATTTAAAATAAAATTTGACTTAATTAATAAATTATTTATGTTTTTTAAGATTTTAGAATTTGAACGCATGAACTTTCTATATGACATTTTTCGCATTTTTTAAGTTGGTTTAAATTCATTTAGACGAAAATTTTATTACAATTATATATACAGAGTTTTAGAAATAATCATTTTTACACCTTTAATCGAGTCTTATGGGCTAGGAAGTTTAAAGAGACAAAAGAAGAAAAATAAATGTTCCTGCAAATATAAAGGGCCTGGAAGCTGGAAGAGATTGTAATTGTAATGCACAAAGGTTATATAAATTACAAGATTTCTTTCTTTTTTCCCTAATTGAAGAAATTAATGAACGTTAAGTCAAGCATTTAAATTTCAGAATGATATAAAAAATTAATTTTTAAATATTATATATATCTTTTAAAATTTGCAAATTATAAATCGTTAAAAAATTTGCAAAAAAATGTGTTAACATCCGTAACAATCGTGAGTTTTAGATTTTTCTGGCACAGAGACAAATTGAATGTTATTAATAATTATTAACCAGTACAATTTATTAAAATCAAATAAAAAAAAAGAACAAATTATTGTTGTTGTTCATTTACGTCGCACTAGAGCTGCACAATGGGCTATTGGCGACGGTCTGGACATGCCATCACAATTTTGATTCTCTGCAGAGGGGATGGCACCCCCGCTTCGGTAGCCCGACGATCTGCACGCGAAGTCGAACACTTTACGGTAGTACAGTTCAACGAGGACCAATACCGCACACCCTCGGTCCCTACGCACACTGATCCAAGTGGTCACCCGCCGCACTGACAGCAGCTAGTGATTTGATGCTTGACTTCGGTGATCCGCTGGGAACCGTGTCTTAACGATCAGTCCACTGCGGGACTAGAACAAATTATAAAGCTACTTATAACGAATGAACTTCAATGTTGTTTAGACGAACTGCACTAGAGGCTTCCCAGCAGGTGGCATTCGATCGCAAGTGTTGTGATTTGAGAGTTTTTTTTTCTTTCTTTTTTCTTTTACCGTAGCAAGGCGCTTGAACCATTTGGGAGCGAATGTTGCCATTCAAGAATTTTCTTCAACAGATTTTTTGGAATGGCAACAAAATTTCAAGGTCATATGACATGTGTTCCATTCATGATTTGACACTTGTAAACAGAGTGGGAAAAGGTTGGTGTTGTAAATTATTATTACAATCTGAAATACAAATTCTTATTATGGTTAATGCAGCCTGAAATTTTTTTATATTATGCTAAACAGTTGTTTTAGATGGTGAGTAGTACATTCATTGTACTGATTTATATTTTGTATTCACATTACAAATATGTACCCTTCTACGAATAGCATCTTTTAAACAATCTTTCTAACATTTAATATTGGTTAAAGTAAATAATATGGCTCCCCTCTTATTTTGACCAATTTTTTAATTGTTCTTGTTCTTGTTTCTATGTTTTCTTGCAGAAAACATAGGAAATAACGGAAAAGTGATATTTTCTATCCATATGAAATCGCAATAAAAATTGTATGAAAGTGGAAGATTTCATAAATATAAGTTCCGAGTTTCCCTATCTAATCCGAGGGCCATCTTGAGTTTCAGTCTAACCCAACTTTTGTTTTAAATTACTATGTTTATAAATTGAAATTTATTGTCACATGTGCATTGTTTCTACTTCATTTTTTCACTTTCTAATATAAATCAAATTATAATTATGCTCTTAAGATGAATTTAGATCTATATACATGATGCGTAGTGTTTTTAAAAAGTGCTTTAAGGTGCTTATTTTCGTTTTTTAAAAGCCCTTAAAGGTGATTTTTTTATTGGGTGTTTTTAAAAAATGATTAATTTTCCCTTTTTGGAAATGAGGTTTTTTTTCTTTACCATGTCAATTTTCGCTATGTATTATGCAAAAGTGTGGTTTTCACATTGCTCTATTCAACGTTTTCACAATTCATTCCAGTGTTTTCATCTCAGAAGAAAAATGGGTGAGAATTTCTCACCCTTTCTCAAAAACAGGGTGAGATTTCAAAAATTAAAAAAATCAAAACACAAAGAGACTTGAAAAAAAAAATCATTTCTTTAATTATAATGCATTTTTAACATGTTCTAATTTTTAAAGCATTGAATATTTTTGCTGTATCATCATATGGAAAATGTTCTACATCTACTTTTTCATCAGCTATTCTCATAAGGTTGCTCAAATGCGTATTTGTTTCGTTTTGATCGTTTCTACCCACATTTGTTTCATTTTCATTTGTCCGTTTCGGAGTAGAAGATATTGGCTTTACAAGGTATTTATCCATCTTACATTAACGAGCAAAAAATTTGAACGTCTTACATGAAGAAACCTTACCTACGGTAAACACGTGGTTGCAGAGAAATGCGTTCTGAAAGAGGTTCCGTGGTTCGGAAGGATGGTGTTCTGTTGTTCTTAAAGGTTCTGAACAATACTGGTAAATAG